TAGAATAGAATAGAATAGAATAGAATAGAATAGAATAGAATAGAATACTTTATTGGCCAAGTGTGATTGGACACACAAGGAATTTGTCTTGGTGTAAATACTCTCAGTATACATGAAGAAAAGAATAGTTAAGAATCAAGAATCATAAAGTACAACACTTAATGATAGTCATAGGGTACAATCAACGATCAAATCATACTAGGAAACAGTCAATATAAATCATAAGGATACAAGCGACAAAGTTACAGTCATACAGTCACAAGTGGGAGGGGATGGGCGATAAGGAGTGGTGAGAAGATTAACAGTAATAGTAGTGTACACTTTGTAAATAATTGAACAGTGTTGAGGGAATTATTTGTTTAGCAGAGTGATGAGGAATCTGGGAAGAGATGGCACTACTGTCAGCCATCTTGGATTACCTCAGAGCCTTGTTGAATTCTTTATCCAAGGCTTTCTGTCTGCGCCTGGTCTGCCCTAGGAGGTTTTTTAGGGGCCCTGGCTCTAATTCTGGCTGCTGCCTCTAAACCAGCAGACCTGGGCTTGGCTGAGCCTCTGGCAGCTCTCTCTCTCTCTGGTCTGCTGAGGTGCTGACAATTCCTGATCAGCTCCCCTGGCCGCCATCTTGCAACGGCTGCAATGTCCTGGGCTTATGGGATCACCCTTTGCAACCTTCCCAGCTGGCTTTTGACATGACAAGTCCATGGGGGAAGCCAGATTGGGTTTAACAAGTGTATGATTCACTTAAGTGATTTGCTTAACGACTGTGGCCAAGGAGGATGTAAAACCGAGGCAAAATTCACTTAGCTGCCTTAGCGGGGGACACTTGGGGCTCAATTGTGCCCTCCTCTTTTTACAGCAGACTAAGACACAAAATTTTCAAGACACAAAATTCAAGAAGCCGCATGTCAAAACGGTCTTTTGGGGGTCTCAATTTAAGTTACCGATGGGGGGAGCCACGGGGGCTAAGATTTGCCTCCCACTGTAAAAGTTTTATCCCCTTTCCAGCACAAAGAACGTAGACCGTTCAAAGTTACAATAGCACTGAAAACAATGACTGATGACCGTTTTTCACACTTACGACCATTGCAATATCCCAACAATCGTGTGTGATCAAAATTCAGATGCTTGGCTGCTGGCTTGCATTTATGACGGTTGCAGTGTCCTGGGTGGGGTCATGTGATCACCTTTTGCAACTTTCTGGCGAGTGGCAGATTCACTTAACAACCGTAACAAAGGCATGAGCCACTGAATAATTGTGGCAAGGAAAGTCATAAAACCAGGGCAAAACTTCCCTTGACAACTTTCTCGCTTAGCAACGGACGTTCTGGACTCAATTGTGGTCGTACGTCAAGGACTCACCAGTACGGCCCCTTTCAAATGCACTCCCCTCACTTTCAAGTCAATATCTGCACCCCTGGAAATGGAGTTTTACAGATTTACAGAATAACAGAGTTGGAAGGGACCTTGTAGGTCATCTAGTCCAACCCCCTGCCCAAGCAGGAGACCCTAAACTATTTCTGACCAATGGCAGTCCAGCCTCTTCTTGAAAGCTTCCAGTGATGAAGCTCCCACCACTTCCGAAGGCAACTTTTGTTCCACGGGTTGATAGATCTCACTGTCAGAAAATTTCTCCTTATTTCCAGGCTGAATCTTCTCCTAGTTCAAATGAGTTAAGGCAGCAAAACCTGCTCTCATCCAACGCAGCAGGACAGCTAAATTAAAATCAAATTAAAGACAGCGGTGCCTTTACCTTGGATTTAAGAGACATGATAAAACAAGGCAGCAGGAGAACGGCGCATTTCAGGCTCATGAAGATGAACTTCAAAACGAAATCGGTGATTCCCACAATCCAGAGCACCTCCCAGAAGTTCCAAAAATCCACCTTGGGATTTAAGAGGATTAAGCTTTGAAGAGAAACCATAAAAACAGCAGAGGATTAGGGTAACTGAGACACAAAAACAAGCCTGGAAATGTTAAGAGACACAACCGGGAAAAAATACGGACAGTGGAAGAATCCAAATGGGAGGAAAAAAATGGGAGTGCTTGACTTGCAAGAGTTCATTTAGTGACCATCGGAAAATTATCTTCTATTCCCCCCACCCCCACCGACGATTATCATTCGCTTTTGGCATTTTGGTGGCTTCATCATATACAGGTAGACCTTGACTTGCAAGAGTTCATTTAGTGACTGTTCGAAGTTACGACACCATTGAAAAAAGGGACTTTTTTTGTCACAGTTAGGACCTTGGCAGCATCCCCATGGTTACGTGGTCAAAATTCAGATGCTTGGCAACTGACTCGTATTTATGACGGTTGCAGTGTCCTGAGGTCGTGTGATCTCCTTTTGCGACCTTCTGACAAGCAAACCCAGATTCCCCTCACAACCGAGTTACTAATTTAACAACCATAGTGATTCACTTGACAACTGCGGCAAGAAAGGTCGTAAAATGGTCAAACTCGCTTAACAACGGTCTTGGCGAGAGAAACTTAGGGCCCAATTATGATAGCTGTCAAGCGTCTAAAATGTGATCCCATAACTTCAGGAGGGGACGGGATGGAAGGATCATCGTCCTCTTTTAACGACCCCAGAATCCCTTGCAGGGTGGAGTCAGGCAACTGAGTGGAGCTGAGTGCTTACTGGCCAGATGCCCTTCCTGTTGCCAATGCGGAGTTTTATTCAGCAGATATATTCTCAATGCGGTCAGAGACAGAAATATCTGCCTCTACCTGGGATCGAACTCACAGCCTCCTGACTGTGAGGCGAGAGCTCCACCTTTAGGCCACCGCACCACCCATGGGGGTGGGGGGGGAAACGGAAGGATGAACATCGGAAATTCAGATCTGAATCCTAAGTCCCTCATAAGTCGAGGACGACCTGCACGTTGGAAATAGGACAGTTCGTCACGGCCAACTCGTTGCAGGACAATTGAGCAATTCAATGTAATTATTTAAAATAAGTAAGAAATTATTTTAATTTTTGTCATTCACATTTCGTTCTGTCCCTCCTTTTGCATCCTTTCTTTAATGATTCTATTCCTTCATTTCTTTGATATCAGTATAATTCTTGTCCCGCAGAGGGTTGGCCGTGGAGAGTCGGCCATGACGAGTAGGCCATCATAGAACCCTCTACTACATTTGGGGTGGCAGGGGAGAGTCCGTCGTAAGTCGAGGACTACCTGTACCAATATGGGGAATTAAGTCTGGGGCTGAATTACCTGTAATGAAGCGACTGCGAGTAGAAGGTGTAATAGATGAAGACAGATGACCCCGTCAAGAACAGTAGCAACCACATACACCGTAGTCTGGAGCACCTTTCCTGCAAGAGAAGAATTTTAGAAAATGTCGATCAATCGGTAGCCTCACACAGGGCTAAACCAAGAGGCACAGAGAGTCACGTGATTCCACTTGACTGGGATGGTAGAAGGACTCCTGCCTTGAGCAGGGGGTTGGACTAGAAGACCTCCAAGGTCCCTTCCAACCCTGTTATTCTGTGATGGTTTTCTGATATAATCCATTTCAATAATATTCTGAGCTCAACAACAACAAAAAAGCCTTTGGAATATCGTACTTCACGATACACAATACACAAAAGGAAGGACAGAATGAAATGTGAATGGCAAACATTAAAATAATTGTTATTTATTTTAAATAATTAAATAGAATTGTTCAATTGTCCCGCAGCGAGTGGTGTTGACCCACGGCCGCAACCAAACCCAGTTTCCACTGTTCAGCAAGGCAGTTTATAAGTGATGTTTTGCCCCATTTTACAACCATTTTTTGCCACAGTGGTTGAATCAGTACACTTGTTAAACAAATCACTACGGTTGCTAAGTGAATTGGATCGACTTCGCCTGTCGGAAGCCAGCTGGGAAGTTTACAAGTGGTGATCATGTGGCCCCCAACAGTCATAAGTACATGCCAGTTTCCAAGCATCTGAATTTTGATCACTTGATCGTGGGGATGCTGCGACGGTCATAAGTGTGAAAATCAGAGATAATGTTTTTTTTCCCCTGCTGGTACAAGTTTCACCTGATCCCCTTTTGCGACCTTTAGACAAACAAAGTCAATGGGGAAATCAGATTTACTTAACAACCGTGTTGTTAATTTAACAACTGCAGTGATTCACTTAACAACTGTGTCAAGAAAGATTGTAAAAAGAAAAGAAACGGACTTAAAAGAAGAAACTCTGCTGTGTAGCAACACAAATGTTGGGCTAAATTGTGGCCATAAATCAATGATCGTATTTAATTAGGTATTTATTAGGTATTTACAATGATACCGACAAAAACACACAAACACACACAAACGTATCTAAACTGAAAGAAATAACAGCATATAATATTTTAAAAAGCTACAGATTGTGCAAATTATGATGCTTTTGGTTTATTCCTCTGATATTATTCGTATTTATTAATTTTTCTGCCCTCTGCCACTCAGAATGTCGAAACAGCGTAAACGGGTTCAAGTGAAATTTAAGTGGCTTTCTCACTGACCGGTTTTCCTTCAAATAAGTAACATAATTCAGATGTATTTCAATCTCCCACTTGGTTTTGGTAAATAAGGGAAGACCAATTTTAATAACACGTCCTGTCATATTTATAGGCCATGTTACCAGGGGCGGGCTTCAAAAATTTTAAGGGTTCTCTGCCCAGTGGCTGGGTGGGCAGGCCCTTGGTGGGCGTGGCCTAGTCAGCGCCCTGCACGACGGCAGGGGGCATATTCTGCCCTCCTCTGGAAGCCAGAAATGGGCCCATACGCAGTCTTCCTGAACTTCCGGGAGGCCTGGTGTTTTGCCCTCCCTGAGCCTCTGCGCAGGCCCTGTACTTACCTCGCACCCAAAACGGGCCGTGTAGGGACTCCTAGGAGGAGAGGGAAAGGGGTGGGTGGGGCCAGCCAATGGTAGGATTTGGGGGTTCTCCAAACTGCGCAGAATCTTAGCTAGGGGCTCTCCCGAACCCCTGCAAACCCCCAGCAGCCCACGCCTGCATGTTATGCTCTAAAGCCGCGATGGCGACCCTATGGCAGGCGTGCCACAGGGGGCACACAGAGCCATTTGTGCCAACACGCTATCTGCAGGCAAACTGACCTCACTGGGCATGCACGTGCCTCACAGCGGATTTTCGGCCAGTTTGAGGCCTTTTTCGGCCTCCCAAAGGCTTGAGGGAGGCTTCTGCAGGCCGAAAACTAGCCCCATTTCATCACTTCCTGTTTTTTCAAAAATACTGGAAGTGATAAAACGGGGCTAGTTTTTGGCCTGCAGAAGCCTCCCTCAAGCCTTTGGGAGGCCGAAAAAGGCCTCAAACTGGCTGAAAATCAACTGTGAGGAGCAGTGCAGGTAAGGGAATGGTGGGGGTGGGTGGGGATTACGTGCGCATGCGTAGGGGGCGTGGGGGGGCATGCATTGCCTTCTGGATGCTGGCACGCAAGTGCAAACGTACAAGCGCACGCACAATTTTTGGCACAGGAGCCCAAAAAGGTTAGCCACCACTGCTCTACAGTTTTCCAGAAGATGCTGGCTTGTCAGAAAGCACTGAAATTTATATCCCATCTTTACTATTTTTGCAAACAGCTCAAGGCAGCAAATAGATCCAACACATCTTCCACCTCGGATTTTCCCCACAACAACCCTGTGAGGTGCATTGGACTAAGAGAGTGTTACTGACCCAAATTCACCCAGCCAACTTTCACACCTAAGATGAGACTAGAATTCATGGCCTCCCACTTTCTAGCCTGCTATCTTAACCATTAGAACAATCTGATTCTCTCTCTCTCATATATAAAATAAAATTAGTTTATTGAAATAAAGGTAGTCCTCAACTTACAACCACAATTGAGCCCAAAGTTTATGTTGCTAAACAAGGCAGTTGTTAAGTGAGTGTTTCCCCATTGTACCTTCCTTGCCACCGTTGTTAGCCAGATCATTGAAGTTGAGTGACCCAATTGTGAAGTGAGTTTGGCTCTTGTGTTGACTTTGCTAGTCAGAAAGTCACAAAAGGGGATCACGTGACCCACTGCAACCACCATAAGTATGAGACAGTTGCCAAGCGCCTGGTTTTTGATCATGCGACCAATGATGGCAATGGTCATAAAAGTGAAATAGTAGTTAAGTCACTTTTTTCAGTGACGTTGCAAGTTTGAACTGTTAATAAATGAACTGCTGTAAATCGAGGACTACCTATAATCCAGTGGTCTGCAGGCATTTAATCTGAAATTTCTCAGTGTGTTTATCTAAAACGTCCCAGGTCAGTATTTTTTTTAAAAAAACATTGTCTTTAAAAGGAAGCCTTAAAAAAGAAACCTATGCTATTTTATAGCCTAGTAGAACAAAAGTGAACACCGCACTCTATATTTCTGTCCAGAATTTGTATCGATCTCCGGAGTAAAATGAAGCTTTAAAAATACTTACAACCATGCTGGAGGAATCGATACTTACTCTTAGGAAAACCTGATTTACAATGGCTTTGTTTGCATACATAAAAGTTGTGAGCAGCCCAATTCCCAGAGAAATTCCTGTTAGGAAAAAAGGGTCAATTATACAAACAAAAAGGGGAAAAAAAAGAAAAAAAGAACAAAAGAGAAAAAAACAAAACAAAAAAGGCACCAAACCCAAGTTTCTTTGAAACAAATGGCAAAATTAAGCAAGAATTACGTAACACTCTTTTAAACAAGGGGACAAATACAACCGGCCTTTTTATACACAGGGGCACTGCAGCCCTAAAGTGCAACAAGATCCTGTGCTAATTAATTAATTTGTGAGAATCCCGGTGATGAATTAATAAAGAGCGTTTCTGTAGCTCTCACAACAAAATGGGGAGACCGATAAAAGGGGAATATTTGTAAGGGCTGAAATGAGAAGCCCTCGGTGTTCTCTGTGCTTGGTTGTGTTCCTGCAGACGTTTCTTTACCCAACGAGGTAACATCATCAATGCTAGAGGGGAGTGGGGTTTGCAGACAGGAGGAGCGGGGGAGGAGGAGGAGGAGGAGAAGGACTGTTAGGTCCTTAGTGCTCTCTGTGCTTGGTTGTTTTCTTGCAGACGTTTCTTTACCCAACCAGGTAACATTGTCAGTGCTAGAGGGGAGTGGGGTTTGCAGGAAGGAGGAGGAGGAGGATTGTGGGGTCCTTGGTGCTCTCTGTGCTCTGGTTGTTTTCTTGCAGATGTTTCTTTATCCAATTAGGTAAATTCACCAGAGCTAATAAGGAGTGGGGTTTTGGTCTCTACATGCCATAAAATGAGAGCAAACCCCACTCTCTACTTGCACTGATGATGTTACCTAGTAGGGCAATGAAACTTCCGCAAGAAAACAGCCAAGCTGAGAAAACACCAAGGACTCCTTAGAATGGGACGAGCCCAACACTTCGGGAAAAATACTTGGTAAAGGCTGGCTTGGAGATGCCGTGTTTTGACTGAGATATTTCCAATCTAACCAGTTCTCCACCTTATTCCTCCCTATCTCCCGGCACCATTATGCAATAAAAACGTAGTACAAAATGCAGGGGACGGAGCAGAAACTCAAATTAGAACAGCCTGTACTCTGTAAATCAAAGCAGTGTAATTAGAGCAAATCCGTGAAATTTTTCATATAGTTGATGTAATAGAACCGCATTCATTCTGACAGCATGACCTCAAATCTTTCCTGTGCAGCTTCACCTGGCTTTTTTTTTTTTAAAAAAAATGGGGCATTTATTTGTCAATTTGGGTGTCTCTATGCATTCAGTGTAGCATCGCAAGTGCCGGAAAGGTGTATTTTATAGCAGTGTTTTCCAAGGGCGGCAACTGTTAAGACGTGTGGACTTCAACTCCCAGAATTCTTCATTCAGCCAGCTGGAGAATTCTGGGAGTTGAAGTCCACATGTCTTAACAGTTGCTGCCACTGGAAAAAACACTGTTCTTTAGTGTTCTCCTTGAAGGAAATCAGAATATTTTGACACAGCAGGCAATCTACACCCTAACTTTGAGCTGAGAGCCCCTGTGTATATGGCAACAAAAGAACAAATTAAAAAGAAATCCTAGATTGTTTTCCCCATTAGCAATGTTTTTCTACTGGAGGCACAGAACATAAAACAGAGGTGGAAAGGTTAGAAATGGCATTTTAAAAAAAAGATGGATCCCCTGTTCCCTTTCAAACGGGGAAACTGAACTTCAAGATGAAGCTTAAGAACCAAAAATCCAAATCTGGGAAGCTATGCCCCAAAGAGGAACTGGAAGCCATCCGTTCCTCCCTTTTGCTGGGTGGAACTGAAAATGGAATATACATTAAAAAAAATAAATAACTGTGTTTCTTGCTACAGATAGTCCTCAACTTACAATCATTTGTTTAATGACTGTTCAAAGTTACAATGACACCTGTTGTGCTTCGCGGGCAGCTTGTGCAGACGGCAGCGGAATCAGACAGTGGGGAAGAACGGGGGTCAGTCCGGGAGTCTGGAGAGGACTCGGACGAGGGTCCTGCATCCAATGCAGAGAGGGGGCCAGGACCATCTGGGAGTGGGGTGCTGACTCCGGAGCCTTCGGAGTCTGGGAGCAGCGAGGCAGAGGAACAAGGGGAGCCTGTTCTCAGTGCGCGTGTGCGCAGAGCTGCTAGAAGGCGAGAGCAGCTGAGACAAAAGGGGCAACTCGGGAGTAAGACTGGGAGGTGATTGCCCCTCCCATAAGGAATAAAAGTCAGACCTCAATGATGAACACTTTGCAGGAAGCAAAGTCGTTCGCTCTGTTCGGATTCAACCTTGAAGCTCTGTATGTGGACTTCGTACTTCGGTTGGTTTTTTATAGTTCATTTGGCACTTTATTTGTTGGCAGCAATTCAAAGAAAGAGAAAGGTGGGTGCTTATCTCGAGGGACTGTTTTATAAAATAAAAGTTGTTTTAACTAAGCGCGTACTTAATTACAGTCGCAGGAAGCCTTGGTTAGAACAGGCCCTGACTCCGCTTGTCCCTGGGACCAGAGGTGGTATTCAGCAGGTTCAGACCAGTTCTGGAGAACTGGTAGCGGAAATTTTGAGTAGTTCGGAGAACCGGCCAACCCACCTCTGACTGGCCTCACCCCCATCTATTCTCTGCCTCCTGAGTCCCAACTGATTGGCTGGGTCTTCTTTTGTTGCCCTGTACAGGACAAGGGAACTGGAAAGCAGGTTAGTGGGGTGGGGAGGGAATAGGATTTTGCAGTATCCTTCCCCTGTCATGCCCATCAAGCCACATCCGCAGAACTGGCAGTAAAAAAATTTGAATCCTACCACTGCCTGGTGACACTGCACATGAGTCAGCGGCCCAACAACTGAATTTTGATCATGGGGAGTTGTAAGTGTGTGAAACGGTCACTTTAGGGTATTGTTGCAACTTTGAACAGTCACTAAGCGATCGGTTGTGACTACCTCTAGTTCGCATTAGGCCTCAAGCCCAAAACACTACAGGCAGTCCTCAGGACCACAACTGAGCCAAAAGTTATGTTGCTAAGTGAAAAATTTGTTAAGTGAATTTTGCCCCCTTTTACAACCTCTCTTGCCACATTTGTTAAGTGAATCACTGCAGTTGCTCAGTGAGTCACATGGTTGTTAAGTGAATCTGGCTTCCCTTCCATTGACTTTTGCTTGTCAGGAGGTCGCAAAAGGGGATCATGTGACCCTGGAACGCTGCAACCATCATAAATATGAATCAGTTGTCAAGCATCCAAATGTCAATCACATCCCTAGGGATGCTGCAATGGTCATAAGTGTGGAAAATGATCCTAAGTCACTTTTTTCAGTACCGTTATAGCTTCAAACAGTCAGTAAAAAAAACTGCTATAAGTTGAGGACTACCTGCATAAAATAAGATTCAGGTAGTCCTTAATTTACAACCACTGAGCCTGGAATTATGGTCATAAGTTGTGCCAATCCTTATGCAGGTCAACACTTCTCCACTCCTGATTTTATGATATATATATTTTTGTGGTGGTGGTTAAGCAATGACAATGGTCATAAAGTAAACCCACTGTCTGCAAAGGGAATTTTTTTGCTGGAAACCAGAGGGAAATACTGGCAAAAAAATATATGTCAATTGTGGTCACCTGACTGCAGGATCCTGTGAATGGGGGGTGGGCACCAAGCACCCCAAATGCACCCAAAGCCCGTGAATCTGAGGGAGTCTGTCATAACTTCCAACAGTCACTGAGCAATTGGTTATAAGACAAGAACTACCTAGATTGAGGCTCTTTTAAAGGTTAAAAAAAGCGTTTAAATCCATGTCTAATTTTAAAGTGAGTTACTGGCCCTTGAGGTTGAAAAGACATAATTCGAAGCATTAGGGAGGTCTCGGAAGCCCAAATCACATATCAAAATTATGAAAATCAAGTGGGGGAAAGAAAAGATGGAGATTGAATTGGCGTGCTTCCTTTGTGCAGGACGTCGAATTTAGCTGAGTTTCCCACCGGGGTTTTTTTTTTTTTAGGGTCCAAAACTTCTGGTCTTGAAGTCCAGACTGATCCATACCCAACTCATTCATCGCTACTTTCAAATACACTTAAAAAAACCCAAAACCTTGATGTTTCCAAAACACCCACAGGTTGATACGCTACCAATGATATGTTGCATGAGAATTTTGATGGACAAAATCAAGATGTACGGGACGCTCCTGTGTAACCACTGAAGGAGGTATTTGAATTCCGAGAGGGAGCTGTCTCTTTGTTCCTCCGTGGCTGGACCACCAGAGTGGCCACTTCGGACTTCGCCAGGCGTTTGGCCATGTGGCCGACTCTGAGTCCCCAACCGTGGATGTTGCCGGGAGCCAGCATTGGCCTCTGACTCCCCGACCGCTGAGGTCATTTGGATGTGAACGTCCCCTGCGTGCTGGCAAGGTTCCTCTCCGGGAGACCTCGTGGCGTGAGGGCCCTGGCAGGTGGGGCTGTGACTGTGGCCATTGTTGAGTCCGGTGTGTCGAACGTTCGGGGTGGACTGCATGGTACGGAACGGACTTGCTTCTGAGATCTGGATTGGGGTGTGATGATTCCTAACAGGAAGGAAGAAACGGTCAGAAGAGAACCAGCATCGATTAGGAATGAAAGGTCTAGCACTGTGTTTCTACCCGAAAATAAGCCCTAGCGTGTTTTTTCGCCACGTGCGCATCATATGTATATGATGATATATGAGCCTCTGTGGCACAGTGGTTAGAGTGCAGTATTGCAAGCTACTTCTGCAGCCAGCTGCCTACAATTTGGCAGTTCAAATCCGACCAGGCTCAAGGTTGACTCAGCCTTCCATCCTTCCAAGGTGGGAAAATGAGGACCCAAATTGTTGGGCAAGAGGCTGACTCTTAGAGAAGGTTGTAAAGCACTATAAAGCGGTATATAAGTCTAAGTGCTACTGCTATATAAGGCAGGGGTGTCAAACTCAATTTCATTGAGGGCCACATCAGGGTTGTTTGACCTCAGGAGGGCTGGGGCGGGGCTGACTAGCATGACATCACTTACCAGGACTGCCTGTGGTGGCCCGAGTGCTCTGCCATGAAAACAGGCTCCTGGACCCCATTTTCAGCCGCGATGGCCTCCTGCAGCCCTCTGCCAGTGAAAATGGAGCTGGCAGAGGGCTGCAAAAGGCTGTTGTAGCCACAAACGGAGCCTGGGACGGCCACGCATGGCCCTCCCGAGCTCTGTTTTCACTGGCAGAGCCACCACGAGCTGGTCCTTTGCTGTTTCCAAGGTAGCCCCATGGGCCAGATCCAAGCACCTTACAGGCTGCATCTGGCCCAAAGGCCTTGAGTTTGATACAAGCCCTACCCACAAAATAATTCCCAATTAAGCACCGTGAGCATACTGGCTTACCTCAGGGCTCCCACAGCTAGGCCATCCATGCCTCGACAATTGCCTTGCAGTGGCAGCACCAGCCACGTGTAGCAGGAACTCGTACGTGGCCAGCGGCGCACTTCTGCTTGCTCACAGTCGCAACAGAGCAGGAGGCTGAACGATGCGCTAGGGCATGGGTGGCCTGGTTTGGGGATCCCTGAAGTAAGCACCTGTGGGGCATGTAAGGCAGTTCTACCCCTCCCCACCTCCCTCGCAGCCGCAGCACCAATGGATCACTCAGCCTGCTGCCCAAATGTGAACAAGCAGAAGTAGTGGTCCTCCCGTACATGGGGGAAAAAATAAGACACCCTCCTGAAAATAAGCCCTAGTGCTTATTTCAGGGCCCAAAAGAAAATAAGAAAAAAGTTAGAGAGATATAATTTGAATAAATAGAAGGAAAAGAAGTAATAAAGAGAAGTTTGGGATAAGATATGAAGATGAACAGATAAGGTAAATATATATATCAAATTGTGCTTGTTTGGAAATGTGATAACTTGGAATAATTCTGTCTTTAAATAAGTTGTTGTATTGGCTTTTTAAGAAAAAAAAATTCCTATGTCATTATATTTTATGTTCTGTTTGTCTGTGTATTGTTTTGGAAAATCAATAAAATTTGTTCAAAAAAATAAAAATAAGACTGGGTCTTATTTTGGGGGAAACACAGTAGTAACAGGCTGTCCTCGACTTACGACTATTTATTTAGTTACCATCCCAAGTTACAACGGCACTGAGTAAAGTGACTTGGAACAGTTTTGCACATGGCAACTGTCACAACCTCCCCATGGTCACATGATCAAAATTTGGGCACTTAGCAACCGGCATGTATTTAGGAACTCTCCCAAAGTCACGTGATCCCCTTTTGCAACCTCCTGAGAAGTAAAGTGAAGGGGTGGGGGAGGGAAGACAGCTTTGCTTAACGACCGCCTAATTCACTGAACTACTGCAGTGTTTTACTTAACAACGGCAGCAAAAAAAAAATCACAAAACGGAGCAAAACTCACTTAACAACTAACTGCCTTGCTTAGCAACAGAAATTCGGGGCTCGGTTGCGATCATAAGTCAAAGACTATCTGTAGTCATGTAGGTTGTGGTGGGGGTTAATCAAGGGAAGTTTTCTGCCAACCTAGCAGTTCGAAAGCATGTAGAAAAAGCAAGTAGAAAAATAGGAGCCACTTTGATGGGAAGGGAACAGCGTTCCTTGCGCCTTCGAAGGCATTTTAGTCATCCCAGCCACATGACCATGGAGACGTCTTCGGACAGCGCTGGCTCTTCGGCTTTGAAACAGAAACGAGCACTACACCCTAGAGCCAGAAATGAGTAGCATGGATGCGCGAGGGGAACCTTTACCTATACCTTTTTCGGGCTTGGAGAATGACCAGGCCAATATCTTTCACGTGCCGCAATACTTGGCAAGCATGCTGGAATGAACTAATTGTCTTTCTGCAAAAGCCCGCTCCCCTTTCACTCCTCTTTTATACTCTAGGGAAGGGGCCATTCACTGTCCACCTGTGGCTTTACTCTCCAATCGGCCCTTGTTCCTCAGCTGTTCCCTTCTTCTGGCAACTCTGTGCATGCGCACGCTGGGAATGTTCATTTTCTTCGGTGGCTCCGAGAGTCCAGATAGATCTGATCTTACCCAGTCTATCTGGACTCTGGGAGCCTCAGAGAGGAAAATGAACGTTGGCTTACCTGAATGGTCGTTTTCTTCTGTGGCGTAGAGAGTCCAGCCCCACCCTGGTTGGTCTGGTCTGGCTGTGGGTTGGTGGGGAGCAATAATGTGTTTTCTTTTTTATCTCACACCTCCACAATCATGTCCAGTCTGCCAAGTGCTTTGTTAAAAGCCGGGGCAGGGCAGAGCTTCAGTTTTAACGCAGACTCAGTCCACCAGAGTAGGGTGGGGCTGGATTCTCTACACCACAGAAGATCAGATCTATCTGGACTCTCGGAGCCACAGATAGGAAAACAGTCTCTAGATTGGTGATGGCTAACCTTTTCAGCTTGGTGTGTCGAAAATCAGGAAAAAGTGTAGCCTTCCTCGGGTCGTGTGTCACTTCAAGAAATATCAATAATTTGGTTTATGACGGACTGGGCTGGGGTGATCACACAGGGCTGTGAAACTCGTCTCCCTGGTCTCAGGGCTGCAGGTGCAGGATGTGGGGATTGGAAGGCCACCTTACAGGGCTGTGAACCTCAACCTTTCCTCCTGTAGCGTTCCTGAGGTAATGAAACTGACAAACCTCAGTTTATGGCGGTTAAAACTGGTTCTCTGCTGCAAAGATCTTGCGGCAGCGGTGACACCACGCCTCCACGCAACAAGCAGGGAGCAGGGATTGGAGCAGAGCACAGGCAGCCTCTAAATGTGCAGGTTTTCCCCACACCAACAGGCGTGTCAGTCAAAGTGCCTCGGCGTGTCACGAGTGACACGCGTGTCATAGGTTAGCCATCACTGCTCTAGATGTTCTTCTGCTTCACTGAAGTCCGACTCCGAAGGCAACTGATATCTGTCGGACGGGCCCTGGTCCCATCACTGCCTCCAACGCAGAGCACTTGTCAGGGCCTCTTCAGGCCACAACAACTTATCAACTGCAGTGATTCACTTCACAACCAGGGCAAGAAAAGTCGCAAACCAGGGCAGAACTCACTTAACAAATGTCTCACTTAGCAACCGAAGTTTTGTGCTCCGTTGAGGAAATTGGCAGGCGGGAAACCTATTACCAAGAGAATTCTTGCAATTCTCTAACCTGGGTTTTCATGGGGGGCTTTTGTTCTTATTGTTTGGCTTATGGGACATTGCAATCACCAAAGCAACTTTCACCAGCTGGTACCCCAGCTTTTAATGCAGAGATAAAACTCTGGAAATTGCCTGAAGCTCATTAAACCAGGGGTCTCCGGCCTTGGCAACTTTAAGACTTGTGGACTCCAACTCCCAAAATTCCTCAGTCAGCTTAGCTGACTGAGGAATTCTGGGAGTTGGAGTCCACAAGTCTTAAAGTTACCAAGGCCGGAGACCCCTGCATTAAACAGCTTTTTATTTTGGCATTTACCACCTTTGAATTAGGATCTGTTTTGCCTACAGAAATTTATACACCGTGAAGCAAAGATTCTGGAAAGCAGCCAAGGTTGGCAAAGCCAAGTTCACCCCCTTAAGTGGCCATAAAGGACATTAAGTGACAATACCCCTGGTTGGCTGATCCTCTGATAGTTATTCAGAGCAGAAAAAAGGAGGGAAGAAAGGCATAGAAATAAGGATAAATATGTAAAGAAGAAAACCAGTCCGACAGGCTAGTGTTTGTTTTTGTAAATCCAAGATTTCCAGGGAAAGAGGGGGAAGGGACAAACAAGAAGTCCTCAAGAAAGCAACACCGTAGAATCACATGGCTGGGATCTTGGAGGTCTTCTAGTCCAACCCACTGCCCAAGGCAGGAGTTCTTATTATATTCTGGACAAAGGAAGGTCTGGTGATTTTCTGAATGATCCTGATCATCCTATAACTATCACAAACTATGTGATGTGGCTTTGATTAGGATTTATTTAATAAGCCACAACTGGGTGAATTCACACAGCACAGGAAGACATCAAGTAAGGTTTATAAACCACAATCAGCAAGCCCTGTAGGGAAGGGGGAACACGCCAACATGATAAAATGAGGCATCCTTTCCAGATAAATTCCTGGAGAACCAAATGAACAAAATCAAGTTTCCAGGCTCTGCAAGTGCATTGTAGACGATTTGCAGCTATCCAGATCTTTTGTACTTTAACTCCGATGATTTCGAGAAAATGGCAAAGGACTTTTCCCCAAATCTACATTTTAAATGCCAGGATTACTGGGAAAATGGCATTTCATAAGTTGGGAGGTGGCCAGCCACTGATTTCTTTACCCTCCCCCCCAAATGAGAGGGTGAGGACATTGGCCACCTATTTTAGGAAGGCAGCGGGTAACAGATAGTCCTTGATTTACAATGACAATTGAGCTGAAAATTTCCACTGCTAAGCAAGACAGTTGTTATGAATTTTGCCCCATTTTACAACATGTTTTGCCTGATGTGCTGGCGTCCTGTTCCACGAGCTCCCATTGCAAAGCACACTGTCCACCTGCTTGAGGGGTCACCAACCTTTTGGACCTCAGAGACCATAACTCATAATTTTAAACCCCAGTACCGCTAACTGGTTCTGTGGGCATGGCCTAATTTGTGGGTGTGGCTTGGTGGTCATGTGACTGGCTGGGCATGGTTTGTATGTAACTATTATAAATATTTATATTGATTTTTGTTTATAAAAAAAGAGCAACTTTTACCCAAAATCAGGCAAAGCAGGCAGGCAGATTGAGTTGCTCACATAATCACAGATTCATTCAGATATCTATCTGCCATCAGCTAGCTCAGTCTGTCAAAAATTTGCTTGCAAAGAAACTCACAAAATTTACTCACAACGCACCATGTATGTAAATATTGATTTTTTTATATAAAAAAGAGAAATTTTTACCCAAAATCAGGCAAAGCAGGCAGGCAGATTGAGTTGCTCACAGAATCATTCAGTGACCTATCCATCTGCCATCGGCTAGCTCAGTCTCTCAAATTTGCTTGCTGTGAGTCTGCACTGAATAACAGAACCTTCAGTCCTAAGGGAGGTTCGGCTGTGCTTAAAAGCAGAGCCGAAGATCTAAAGACTAGCTGGAAGGCAAGAAATCCAACTATTTCCTGCTTCCTAACTAATGTAAATCTCCCAGCACAGCAGAACAGCTGATGGTTGGAAAAATAGTAATTTAGCAGGCAAGTTTGCCGGGTAAGGAGTGAGCGGGTGGGGAGGGTCCCAGTGGGCCATGTGGGTGGCACAGCCTTGTGTTTCTGCGCAGCCTGGATTAATTGCTTTGGGAGGGGTGCTCTGGGGGTGAGATTTCTCTGTGGCCCACCAACATTTTCTCGCGGCCCACCAGATGGTGACCACTGGACTAGAAGACCACAAAGGTCCCTTCCAACTCTGTTACTCGTTAAGTGAATCACTGCAGTTGTTCAGTTAGTAACACGGTTGTTAAGTGAATCTGGCTTCCCCATTGAGTTTGCTTGGCAGAAAGGTTACCAAAAAGTGATCACATGATCCCAGGATACTGCAACCATCTTAAAATACACGTCAGTTACCAACCGCCTGAATTTTAATCACGCAACCACAGGGACAGTGCAGCAATAGTAATTGTGATAAACAGTCCCTTTTTTCAGCGTTGTAGTAATTTCAAACATTTACGAAACAAATAGTTGTAAACCAAGAATTACCTGTATTCAGCCCAGTTTTACACAATCAGTAAAGCACTTCAGGAGAAGTAAATTAAACAAAGTCTTTTTTGGAGAAAGGGATTAGTCACCGCTCTTAGATTATATTAGATTAACAGAGTTAGAAGGGACTTTGTAGGTTATCTAGTCCAATCCCCACCAAGCAGGAGACCCTACACCATTTCTGATAAATGACAGTACAGTCTCTTCTTGAAAGCCTCCAGTGATGACGCTCCCACAACTTCTAAAGGCAACTTGTTCCAATGGCTGATTGTTCTGTCAGAAAATTTCTCCTTATTTCTAGGTTGAATCTCTCCTTGTTCAGTTTCCACCCATTATTTCTTGTCTGGCCTTTGGGTGCTTTGGAAATTGTGACAAGCAGAACACCTAATAATAGTAATTCTCTGTATCCCCTTCAGTGCTACGACTCAGTCCCCAATCCTGTTTGAAAGGCAGGGCATGACTGGTGCAACCAGAGCAGCAGGAACTACAATACCCCTAAGTATGGGCAGAGCCCAGGCAGGTCCTGGCCACAAAATCCCTCTTCCCAAAATGCAATGTTGGGCCGATACTTCTCTTTCGCTCCTCTGAAGTAATTAGAATAGCAAGTCAATTCAAAAGTCAGGCCTCATTGAGGCCAGTTCCTGGTCATTTCAAGGACATGGCTGGACACATTAAAGGGTGGTGAGTGGGTGGCTGATGACTTCCGTGAGGGCTAGGGGATTTCCCAGTTTAGACCAGTGGTTCCCAGCCTTGGCCTCTTTAAGAAAAGTGGAATTCAAGTCCCAGGATCCCCTAGCAGAATGCTTTAAGGATGGACTTCGACTCCCAGAATTCCCCAGCCAGTGTACTTTAAGATGGGTGGACTACAATTCCCAGAATTCCCTGGCGAACAAGCGTTTAAGATGAGCGGACAACAACTCCCAGAATTCCCCAGCCAACATGCTTTAAAGGTGGACTTCAACTCCCATAATTCCCCAGCCAGCCTGCTTTAAGATGGGTGGACTACAACTCCAGAATTGCCCAGCCATGGGGGGTGGGGGGGGGGCGGCTGTGGAATTCTGGGAGTTGAAGTCCACCCATCTTAAAGGGGCCAAGAGGGGAAAACCCAGGTTTAGATTACAGTGGGATTACCTGGTGGCCTCTCATCCATCCACTCTTTCCTAACTTCTGCATATATATCAGGCCAACTCTTCCCCGCTCCTCGCTCCCCCGCCGAGGGGATGATGGGAGTTGTTGTCTCCAAGCGGCCGGGATGGGAGAGGGGACGCAAGAGGCAGCCGAAGCCTCGGACTAGAGGCCCTTCCCGCCCGGTAAATCCCCGCCACCCACCTCTCATAGCGGGCCGGAGTTTCATGGCGAGGCCTGTCCGGGAGGCCCGAGCCTCGCCTCCACCGCCATGGCAGCCGCGGGGGCGGCCGACCAAGCGCCAGTCTCCGACGGAGAGACCGACCGAGAGAAGGAGCGAGCGACGACCAGCTGCCTCCGACTACCGGCTCCGTGGAAGAAGAGGAGTGGCCACGCCGGCCGCAGGAGGAGGAAAACAGGCCTAGAAAAGTGGTCGCCACGGCAACAGGGGCGGCGCTGAGGTGGGGGCGGGGGCGGGGCCTGAGGGGTCGCCGAGGGGGGCGGAGCTAGGGACGTCGTCGCGGAAAGGAAGCGCGCGGGGGGTGGGGCTTACCACAAGAGGCGGAGCTAGTGGCGTAGTCACGGTAGGGCGGCTCTGAGGGGCGTTTCCACGGGGAGGAGGAGCTGGGGACGTAATTACGTAGGGGCGGAGCTGAGGGCGGTTCCGTGGGGGGGTTAGGGCTCGATCCCTGCTGAGCTGTAGCTGCTTGAGCCCCGTTGGTGGAAAGTAATTAATTTAGAATAGAAATAGAATAGAATAGAATAGAATACTTTATTGGCCAAGTGTGATTGTCTTCATTAATCATTAAGTAATTAATGATCTCCAGAGACTTTATAAGTTCACCAATACAGGTGGTCCTGGACTTACAACCCATTCATTTAGTGACCATTGGAAGTTGGAACAGCGCTAAAAAAAGTGATTCATCACCATTTTCACACTTATGACCGTTGCAGCATTCCCATGGTCACGTGATCAAAATGTAGGCACGTGGTATGTATTTAAGACAGTTGCAGGATCCCGGGGTCATATGGTGGTCACCTTTCCTTCCAGTGTCCAGTAAGCAATGCCTGCTGCAGACAACAGATTTGCTTAATGACCACTGGGATTTGCTTAACAGCCACCACATGGAAAACAAAGCACATATGAGCTAGATAGTTGTAACACTAGAATTGAAAGATCAGAATAAATTAGAATAGTATAAAGTACAGAATAAATTTAACATATGGAGGGACATGAAAGGAAGTTCATAAAAGTGAAATTAGAATTTAAAATGGAAAAAAAGAGGTATAAGAATAAGATTTATAATGGTACAAAGTCTAAATGTGTATGTATATGTATGTATGTATGTATGTAATGGAATTCAGCTTTGTTCGGGTATTTTCCCACGTCATTGTAGTTGTGCTTTTAAAGTTGTAGCAACGTTTCAGCAGAATCTCATCTGCCATCACAGAAGCTTGATGATGGCAGATGAGATTCTACCGAAACGTTGCTACAACTTTAAAAGCACAACTACAATGATGTGGGAAAATACCTGAACAAAGCTGAATACCATACATATACATATACATATACATATACATATACATATACATATACATACATACATATATATATATATATATATA